GTGTCATGTAGCACGGGCCGCTGGTCTTGGTCTTGACTTGGTCTCTGACCCCAAAAGTCTTGGTCTTGTCTTGGTGGTCTTGAACGCAACACTGCCTGCCGGCCCTCCAAAGCCTCCTCGTCTGTGCTTCCTGCACCGGCAGAGACCGCCAGATCCGCCTGCAGGATTTCACTTCCTGCACTGACGTCGCCACCCACCGCGGCTCCAGCTCCGCCTCCGACGTCGCCGCCCTCTGGACCTCCCACGGGAGCTCCACCTCCTGTGCCGTGGTGGCCCCCGGACTGTTTTCCGTGTCTGAGTTCCTGTTTTGGATTTAGTTTTGATTTCTGGACTCTAGCCCTCCTGCCGTCGCCCTTCCGCCCACCCTGTTGGGTCGTTTTGTTTTTGGTTATGGACTTTTCTGCTGGGCGTCTGGTAGCCGCCTTTGAGGGGGTCGGGGGTACTGTCATGAGCCATGTTTCTGTGTGTTTATTTTTGGAGTTTTTTTGTGTTCAGTCCCTTCCTGTGAGTCTCTGTCTCTGCTCTTCCCCGTTGATTGTTCCCAGGTGTTTCTCGTTCCCTTGATTACCCCTGTGTGTATTTAAGTCCACCTGTTGTCTTTGTCTCTTGTCGGGTCCTTGTCTTAGTTTGTCTGTGTCTAACGTTGTCGCACGTACGTCTCAGCTCTCAAGTGGAATTGTAATTCTGGTTAGCTTCGCTCTCTTGTCAGTCCTTGTTGTTAGTGCGACCGGTATTTAGCTGGGTGCTAACTTCTCCGCCGTGCCGCCTGTTTTTGGACTGTTGAACATCTTCATCATTAAACGCTTCATCATCATTATCTGGGTCTATGCATCACTCCTCACCATCACCTACCACCACTTCATGACAAAAGGAAGACGAGCAGAGTTACAAAGTGATGATTTTCAAGACGAAATTGGGTGAGTAATACTTTTAAATAAGTCTTTTTTTTCTTTATAAAACAAAAAACAAAACAAAAGAATAAAAGTTGTATTTTTGTTTTATTTGTTTTTTCTTTCTTGTGTTTTGGGGGTTAGGGGTAATGATTAAATGATTAAAATATAATATCTAATGACATTACATTTTAATCATGTATTTGTGAACATGACCTCTATTCCACAAATTCAGTGATGATATTTGTTCTTCTTACTATGTGTGTATGTGAGTGAGTGTTGGTCATAAGTTGCTGTGCGTGCGTGTGTGTGTGCGTGTGCACATATTGATTAGAGCATCCAGAATAACCTTCTGTTTGACTTCAGTTTATGGAAGCTTTCACAAAAACAGACAGATGAGCTTAATTCCAGCTCTGCTGATGGTTGTTAAAGTCACAAGAACAGAGCAAATTTAGCAACGTGTTAGTTGTACTTAATTCTAGCTCAGCATGCAAAACACTCTAGAACCTATGAGCATGCATGTGAAGGAGTCACCCAGAGGAGATGCTCTGTGGACTCCAAGCAGCACAGCTAATAGAAACAATGTGAACCTCCTGACGTCCTGATGATGTGTTTTCCCCCCTGTGGGGAACTGTGATATGTGCTGAATACTCCGCTGACTTCTTCCACCACATGCCTGCACTCAGTAGAGATGCATGTGAAGGCAACAACAATTCTGAAATCATTCATTATAATGTCACCTTCAGCAAGAAACAAAGAAAACCAGCTAAAGAGGAGACAAAAGGGCCTGTTACGCAGAGGCTCAGCGTATAGAATGAAGCATGACAATAAGAATGCAGTTAAGGTGGATTTATTCAGAAACTGCAGGTCACATTTGCACCAAAATCATTTTACAGAGAGCCAAAGAAACTGGCTTTTATACCATGAGCAATTTCACCATCCATACCAAAGAAATGGATAGTCAAAGATAAAAAGAAGTAAACATTATTTACACAAGTCTAACACAAAAGCAATAAATGGTACCAATAAATATATACATGCATGCAAATCATTGTAACTAAACTAATCTAAGGTAATTGTAACTTAATATAACTCCTCAGAGCATTACCCCTCCTAACTGACATGCTGCAGGAGCTTTTCAGCAGCACCTGGAGGTGCCCTGTGCTGCTCCATGCTGTCGTGGAGACTCCAGGATTGGTGAGCACTCAAACAATTGTTGAACTCAAATTAAACCAACAGAAGTTCTCAAAACAACCTGCCATTCTCCCTATACAGGAAGAAAAGCCCGTCCCCCCGGCCTGAAAGAATGTTCAACTAAATGTCACAATGAAGCTGAAATAAAGAAATGAAACAGAAAACATTTGGTCTGCAAATAAATAAAACAACATAATATCAACATCACATATAAGACATTCTGCACATGTTCAGCTGTAAAAAAAAGGCTGTATTTCCTGGTTTGCATGTGCTGAACCACATGGGACTGCGCTGGATATTAGACATGCATTCTGTGATTGGTTGTTTGTAGAGGTAATAAAGTGGAATGTCTCTCTCATATCTATTTATTAATTCCAAAAATGTACTATTTTGCCATTTTCTCTGTGAACATCCTCAGGAGCAAAAGTCTGAAATTGGATGAGTTTTTCTCTTCCTGTGATGTCTTTAGTTTCTTTTTTTCTAACTCAACATTTCAGGATAGAGGACGCTGTTTGATGCTGTGCCTGGAGGAACAGCGCAGTGTTCCTCTCGCAGTCAGTTATTTTTGATAGTGAGCTGTGTAAATAGAACTGATTTGATTCAACAATCCAAAACATGTTCCTGCTCCGACCCTGCAGGACGTCACCCTGGAGGGTTCATGAAGAAGCAATCTCAGTGCAGCCATGAGAGTACTGTGACTTTAATTCAATTTGAATCAGTAAAAAGATCAGAACTTCCTGGAATAAGGCAGCTTTGGCATGAGGCCAATAATGCTTTTCAGGTCTCTTAGTAGCAGCCAATAGGATCCCTTCATTCCACTGGGCATCCATAAGCAGCTACTCTAAGGCTTTTTCAGAGTCGTTGTTTTAAGGTTTAAAGCAAAAGAAGATTAAGCACCGCACCTGAAGCAGGAAGAAAGGAAAATTGTAAAACTCACCTCATGACCAAGGCATATCAAATCTTTGACGATGTATTAGACCCGACAGAGAAAAAAGACCCAAATTTTTAGATAAATTTTGGATTTTTTTTTTTTTTTTTTTTAAAAAACCTTGGAAATTTCTGAGTTTCAAAAGTAAAAAAATTCTTTAAAATTTCTGAGATTTTTTAAGGAAATTTTTTACTCAGGTTTTACATTGGCTCTAATATGCTGTTGTACAAATCAAATATGATTGGCAAGGTATATGAAGAATATGTTTACCTTCTAAAAGTTATAAGTTTTGTTTAAAAAAATGCTTGTGGACATAAAGTGTTTGCCCTTTCTTCATCTCCAGTTGGGTATATTTATACAGATATGCTGTCAGGATGCATCATTTATGACTATGCATACACATAAACCATCTAACTGTACAATTAAATTGTGCATTGAATTCTGAAACCGTTAAAGGCCATTTTTCTCACTCAAGTCTCAGTAGGAGCGTACCTGTTCCCCTCTCTCACCTGAACCAGGCAGCCACTTTTCTGGTCAGTAATCAGATTACTCTCTTTCTCTCCCTCTACTCTGGATTCTCCTGTACTGCCAGGAGAGAGTTTTTTTTTTTCATTTAAAGAACTAACCTTCCACCTCCCACTTTGCCTAAATTTGGGTTCAGCCACTGCAATATGACGATCATAGAGCAACTACTGGATTATTTAAACAACACGTCTATTTCTTTGTCGGAGTTGGAAGGACTTGTTTTTCTCCAACATGTTGCTCTCTGGAGAGGAGGAAGCAAATGGTGTTTTACACATTTCTATAAATGTTTATTATTGTCTCATCATCTGTGTGAACAGGTTCTCCCCTGAAGCTTTGTTGGCAGCTTGATGTTTGTGCTTCATGATCCGTGACAGTTTCCATGCACAAGTTTGATTTGTACCGACATGGTTGGTGCATCTTTGTTTACTGTGGGAAGGAGAAACAATGTCCACCCTGCACTGGCTCTCCACTCAAACCAGACTGCTTCCCCCTGCCAAACTCATTTATGTCATTTTGTTGAGAATAATAATAAAATTCTCCATGTAGGAGAAGCTGCTGCCCCCGCGACCCGACCCCGGATAAGCAGAAGAAAATGGATGGATGGATGGATGGATGGATGTAGGTTTTCCATGAGTCTGCAGTTTCATTTTTAGAATGAAATACCTCTCATTCTGTGGGTCTGATCTTTTTTTATCATCACATTTTAACACTTCATCATTTCTGAGTCCAACAATGGTAACTATCATCTCATGACAAAAAAAATGATATTCAGTATTTAACTCTGCAGCAGCCTATGCTTCTTGTTTGTTCTCTCATGTGGAAGGTTAACACACAAGTTTTTTCAATACAGACTAAAATATGTCAAATGTGTTTTGTACATTTTTATGTTCATATAATTAAGCTTCTAAAAATCACATAACTAAAATGAACTGCTTCATGCTTACGTAACTATTTTTCACTGAAGAAAGTCGTTCCATGTTGCTGATGGATGATGTCCACTCTTAACCTATTGAAGACATTTAGGATGGAGTTAAATAAGTGACTCAAATTGTAGCATTATTGTTCTAAGAAGGTTGAAACAACAAACACTTGTTCAACACTTATAGGCACAAGCTCACTCTTAGTACATTGCTTATTTTGGGTGAGACCTGCATACCCTATAGGACTAGTATTTAGGTCAGTTTTTAATCAACACAAGACAAGCACCAGAAAGAAAAAGAAAACTTTAAACAAGATTCAAATCATTCATAACTGATAGAGTGTCCTATAACCAGAGGCGCAAAAAGTGGGTATGCAGCGTATGCAACGCATAGGGGCGCAGCACCAGAGGGGGCGCCAAAACCCCGTCTGGAGGGGGCGACGCGCCGATTATGTTTTCCCATACACTTCAGCGCGCCTTACAGTCCTTCACCTCTCGCCCATAACTAGGTAAATGTAGCGATTTTTACACTTCACATATCGTTGCCTCGGAAGGGGGGGAGGGGGGCTTTATGTTTTCGCATCCACCTGAATAATGTGTAGTTAATAATAATGTGTAGCCTATAACAGACTAAACCTTCCTAAAAGGAACATGTAGCTGATGATGCTGCGATAAGTGCAAAGCTTGTAGTTTTCTCTTCGTTGTCTCATTTTCTTACTTCCATCCATCTTCATTTACACCCAATTTAACCACAGCAAAGAAGAGAATCTTAAAACCAATCAAAGTAACATCAAAGACTCAGAGTTTGCAAACAGAAAATGAGCTATGACATTTAGAGAGAAATGAACAGATGATATTCAAAGCAGACAAATATATTACACACACAGGAGACAGTTATAAGCTCCAAAAGTAAACACAAGCTGATGAATAAAAGAGGCAATATAAATGGATTGAATGACAGCATAAATATATGAAAAATATAAATTTAGTCTGCAATGTAGATTAGATACATAATCACATTTATTTTCTTGCTTATTGTTTGATCAGTGTCAAATGAGGTCATCAGAGCGTCTGTATTGTAATAAATGTTGGAATAACTTCCTTTCCTTTTGATAGCAGTTTGCTTTTGTTTGTTCTTTCATTATCAGCATCTCAGAGGCAGAATGAAGACTCCTGTCCACTGTGTTCGCCTGCAGACATGTTTATTTTCAGAAAATGAGACTCCAGCAATTTACACTCTGAGGAAATAGAAACCAGTGGGAGCCGAGCACCGCTGTTATTCATTTCAAATATGCAGTCGCTCAGCAAGAGCGCTGAAGCACATGTTCACTGAAGCCTGCATCGGGTTATGGTTCTGTTTCAGATCACTGAGGCTCCTGAAGCCTGCTGCAGGGACAGCGCCTCCCAAAGCTGCTCAGAACCTTTTCACACTTTACCACCACACCAAACTAAAATGTGTCATCTTTTGTTTACTGAAAGCAGGAGCAAGATGCAGTCATCTGTGGCTATGCTAACTAGCCTTAGCATTCTTGACAGGCTCCGTTGTGCTGAACCAGCTGTAGCTTAGCAGAAAGCTACGGGGAAGGGTGAACACAAGAGTAATTGACAGCGCTAAGACCCTCCTTCTGGCTCTGGTTGGTTGTTTCTGAATGACATGACCAGCGTTTTCTGAAAAGACATGTCAGAGCTCTTCTACCTCCACATGCAGCAAGGTACATGCATGTTCTCCAACTCCCAAACCTCCAGGCTGCAATCAGAGAAACGTTAGCGCAAACTGAACAGCACAGTCTGAGAGGAGGGTGAGTAATGAGGCAAACATACAACACAGCTTCTCCAGCCAAAGAAGTAAACTAAAACTATTAAGATGGTACAATGTGAAAGTATTTGCCCCCTTACAGATTTCTTTTGTTTTTGCCTAAATGTTTTAGATCAAAAAACAAATAGTTATATCAGATGAATATAGCCCAAATAAAATAGAAAAGTAGTTTTCATATGACAGTTTTGTTTAGTAATGAGCAAAAAGCTTTCCAAACCAACCAGGCACTATGTGAAAAAGTATTCAACCCCTCAGCCTGCTAACTGGCTATGACACTGTTGGCAGCAACAACTGCTAACGAGGCTTTTCCATCGCAGTGCAGGATCGTTGCCCCATTCCTCTTAAGAGTTTCCAGTCAGCTAACACTGCAGGATTAGCTGACTGAAAGTGGCAACATTCTGTTTAAGGTCATGGCACAATACCTTAAGCTGATCTAATTCCAGACTTGGACTAAACCATTTCTAAATCTTAATCTTGTTGGGGTATTTTATTTTATTTTTTATTTTATCCATTCAGTGGTGGACGTGCTGGTCCACTTGAGCTCAAACTGACAAACAGATTTTCCATATAGAGCCAGAATTATGCACACAAAGCCATTTTATAGTACAATTAAGTAACTATTACATTGAGTTGTCGTAAAAATGCTCTATGTATCAAATATGACTTAAAAGAAATTACTTCATAATTTAATGCCTTGAAATTGGGACTCTGTCTCTTTAAAAACTCCTGCTCTTTCTGAAACTCCTCCTTCAGGAAGTCGTCACAAGCATTTTAACAAATGCATGGGGGCAAACAAGTGGTAGTGAGTATTAGTGTATGTCACTTTCACTGGCGGAGGCTCTGCATTCAGGAAGGAGGCAAGGCAACAAAATGTAGTCGAGGTAGATTTATTTTGAGCTGAAGCTCACATTTATGCCAACACCAATTTTCCCAGTGAGACAAAGAAGCTGGCTTTTTATACTTTGGGCAAAATCACCACTTATACCAAGTAAAGGGGTGGTCAAAAAAGAATAAATGAGAAACAAACACTACTTACACAAATCTAGCAAAACAATAAATGGTACCAACAAATATTTACATGCATGTAAATCATTACAACTAAACTAATCTAAGGTCAATCAAAGAATAAATTTAACTAAATATAATTCCTCAGAGTATTATCCCTCCTAATTGTAACGGTATGCTCCAGGAGCAGCTGTAAGAGCGGGAATACTATTTAAGGAGTTGTTTTTGCAAAAGGATTTTGGGGCCTCTCTAGGTCAACCTGACCTGAATCCTTTCCTTCCATTTGCGTGCAAAGCGCAAATGGAACCAAAAAATGACTTGGAAAGGATGTCTGTTTGGAAAAGATAAGAACGACAATTTGAGATAAATTGTCCTATTCAGCAATTCTGAAATGGAGCAGATGTTGAGTTCATGAGGTCCAAATATTTTAAAGGTCGTCCAATACCCACTTAGTATAAGGCACGCCAGAATCTTTACGCAAATCAAGGGTAGCAACTCCATTGGTTGAAACTTTCCAACTCACATCAGTGAGGATGAGAATGTATAAAAAAGGTCGATCTTTAGAATACGGGGAGATTTTTTGTTGAGACTTGGGAAGATGTTTGAGTATTGAACTGATGAAACTGTAATGAGGAATCTGTGGTAGTGTAATAAATATCCGGCTCATCTATGGCCTAGCAGCAAGAACTACGTCTCTGTGCGTTATTTCTTTTACTTATATATTTAAGAGTTTAGCCACCCTTCAATTCTCTAATGCAGCCCCTGGAGCTCCCCTTGTTACTCCACCCTGCTGCCAAGACACCCTGAAAAGGTAAGTACTTAAACAATTAGCAAACTCAAATTAAACCAATAGAAATCAGAAACAGACATTTTACCCACAATCTCCCTGTACAGAAAGGATGGCCAGTCCGTCTGCCTGAAAGAATGTTTAAATGTCAATGTAACTGAAATAAAGTACTGAAACAAAAAGCATTTGATCTGTAAATAAACTAAACAACATAATAGCAATAATCAATTAGGGATGGAAGCCCTGGTTTCCATCACAGTGTAACACTTTCTTTTAACAATAATAACAATAATAAAACGAGTTTTTCCAAAAGACTTTAATAACAGTAGTTGTGTCTTGTTAAACTTGTCTGGTTCACAGTATGGCAGTGTGAAAATTGTGATAGCTCTACAGAATCCTTCACTCTGATGGTTTAATGGTAAATTAAGGCAAATTGGACAATGGTTCTGAAGTTTCAAGCCAGTAATTTGTTGTATGGGTTCCATCCTGTAATAACAAAAAGTAGTGAATTAATGAATATATCAATGACAATAAAAGTAAGTATTTAATATGTATTAAAAAGTCAGATAAAATTTCTTCAGTGGAAAGATGTTAAGTGTCTTACAGTAAAGTAAACTTATATTGCCCTACACTACTGGAAAACAATGACTTACTTCTTTTTGATTATCAAGCCCAGTGTTTGTGGTTCCAGTATAATCAGACTGATGTGGCAAACCTGTAATTAAGACAAAATAGGGTTCATCAGTTTTCATGTATAATTTAAGATGCTTTCCAGCCAGAGTACCCAGGCTGGGAATTGAACTCAGGACCTTCTTGCTGCAAGGCAACAGCTCTACCAACGGTGCCACTGTGCAGCCCCTTGCCTCTATTTAGACTATAATAAGTAGCTTAACCATCATCATCTGACACACCAGCCTCTGCATCGCTTTGGATCACATGGTTCAATGTATTTCACCAAATGTGATTAAAAAATATCTCCCTTCTATCATCAGAGGATGAAAAACAGCGAGATCTGTCTTGGACAAACAGAAAGAGTTTTCTGACATCAGACCTTTGGTGGTGTGTGAATGAAGTAACTGCTGCTCAGGGTGTGGTGGTGGGTGAGTCTTTTGTTTTTACACAACTGCATTTTATTAAATAAAGAATAAAAACATTAATTTTAATGAATTTTTGTATTTATGTCATTTTACAATCTCCTGAAGGACACAAGACGTAGAACATAAAACCAGACATTAAGGAGATGGTATAATTAGTTTTTAATATGATCGTTGATTCAAAAGATATCAGTGTTTTATCTAAAATTGTGTTTATGAGCTGCATTCATAATCACCACAAAATGAGTGTAATGAGCCTGTCTGTCTTCTTATGAGAACATTTTAACTGCTTAGTGAAACAGCCTGACATGAGACAACAGCAGCGTTTTGTGAGTGAGGCCTCGAGTACTGAAAGGTGATGAGGATGGAAATGAACCTTGTTTCATCAGCAATCAGGAAAACTTGTGGAGCTGCAGCTGCTTCTTCATCCTGCAGGTGAACATTTGATGTTTTCCTTCATGAAATGATCATAAACTTCAGCTTCTCAGGCTGATTAATTAGCTTTGATTATATTCATCATGTGTAGTTTATACATAAAAACGCATCTTCATGCTTATGCATTTGGGAAGGTGATGAGTGACAGAGAGCCTTAACAATGCACTTTAGACATTTTGAAGACCTAGTTAGGACTTTTGTCTTAACTGACGCCCCCGTATTTTTCCAGGCACTAGTTAACGATGTCCTCAGGGACATTCTAAACAGATTTGTCTTTGCCTACTTAGATCAGTTTTGCCCAACCCTGGTCCTCAAGGCACACTGCCCTGCACGGTTTAGGCATTCCTCTGCTTCAGCACTCATGACTTCAGTTGATGACTGACTAACAGGGTGTTACTGAATTGCAATCATCTGAGTGGGGTGTGTTGAAGCAGGGGAACATCTAAAACATGCAGGTCAGTGTGCCTTGAAGACCAGGGTTGGGAAAGACTGACCTAGATGACATCCTGATCTTCTCCAACTGTTTGAAGTAACACTGAGAACATGTCAGAAATGTCCTCCAACGACGACTCAAAACCCTTCTTATGTGAAGCCGGAATGAACATGAATTTTATTATTACCTTTCTGGACTTCATTTTGTTTTGACCGTGGGTCTCGGTTCAAATTATGTTTTTGCATTAAAAACTTCACAAGTTTGGAAGGACCTTCGTTAAGGTGTTGGTGCCAGATGTTAGAGCCATGAAGGACTGAATAGAGGAGGCTGGTGTAAAGACTGTTAATCCCACAATGCACTACATTGATTGACTTCCAGCTTCAACAGGAAGAAGAGTCCAGAAAGCAAACCTGTCATGAGGAACTTATAATAAAGGACTAAGACAACAATTGTTATCTTTCCGTGGCCCTTCTTTGGAAAGCACAAAGTGTGCAACCTGAAACCTTCCTTCACTAGCAGAGGAAGGTCACTCCTTGTCCAGGTGCGTTGGATCCAAAACACAGGTGACTGAATTTTATTGAATGTCCAAAGGAGGAACCAGGTAAGAAATAAGGACGCTACGACCATTTTTGTGACAGATTCCTGCTCATCTCACAGTCATGTCCACAGTGTGGTTTTGTGGACATGAATCTGTGCATAGTAATGGCCAGCAGGAGGCGATGTCCAAACCAGTAATGTATATTAATGGAGAAATTCTCTAACCACTAAAATCTGATGCTACTCTGTTTTTGCTTATATATTTTGAAGAAGGAAGTTGAACTGGTCTTCTTCAGAGGTTTTGTGTTTCTTTCAGTACTTCTTGGTGCAGCGCCACCGTAGGCGAGGGGGAGTAACAGGCCTTTCAATCAGTTTGGATCGTTTGACAGTGCAGTATGAAAGAGAACCTCACCAGCTGAAAATGTAGCAAATATGGCAATTTTGTGTGAAAACTCCATAAAAGAGGTGTGACTATTTTAATTTCAAGTAGGCTTCACTTTAATTCTATTCAAGAGAGAAAGAACAAGGAGGAAAAATTTGTGTTAGTAAAGGGATATTTGGAGGGTAATTTTATAATTTTATAAATGTATATGCCTCACCAGGATCAGGGTTTAAATGTTATAAATATATTTGAATTGATTGCAGTGGAGGCACAGGGCATTCTAATATTCAGTACTCCTCAAATTCACACAGGTCGGTATTAAGCAAAACTAAAAATATTAAATTAATTATCAAAGAATCATTACTCCAAGATATTTGGAGAGAGCAAAACTCAATAATAAAAAAGACTATGATTTTTTTCTTTCACCCACATTCATGTTACTCCAGATTAGATTATTTTTTTTATGTTTCAGAAGGACTTCAATAGAGTGGCAAATTGCAAAATAGGAGAGATGGACTTATCAAATCACTCTACTAGTGATTGGAAAAACATAGAAACTTTTTGGACATTAAATACAAGCTTTATTCACCTGTTCACAGAGCAAATATCTCTGAAGGGGGCGAAGGCAGTGAGAGTTCGCCTTGTGATTGTTGGATCTCCAATTTGATTCCCGGTCTGCCCGCCCTTTTTTCATGAATTTATGGTTTTTGTTCTGCTCTGGCTCCCTGTGGGTTTTTTTTGGTAAGTTTTTTCCTAAATACTCTCAACATGATCCATGCTCTCAGCTCCTGTCTGCATCTAGATCCATCCACAAACTCACTCCTCATGACAAAAACTATTGGCTTACAAACTTAACATGCCAAAAATGTGAAAATACAATAAATCAAATAAAAGACCCTGAAAAAGGGTCTTTTAGGTTAAATTTCTATGCTTATTTTTAGAAGACCTATACACACAACCAGAAGCAGGGGGATAAATGTATTTTTTCTAAGTGCATTAAATTTAGCAAAAGTGAGTGAAAATCAAAACTTCTGATGAATGGAAGGTTGGAGATTGATTGGAGTTTTTAGCAGAAAGATAATGTAGCAGAGTGGAAGAAGGTGCTGTTACCGTAGGAACAACTCTTTCATTGGCTCTCTGCTGTTGGGTCTTCATGATTTTTAATCCCTTTAATCTGAACAGACTCAACAAGAGACATTTCAGATTGAGTTTTGCTCTTATAGGCATGTGTGTATTAAGGCTGTTTGTTTGCACAGCTGTGTATATGTATGCAAATGTGAGTAAAGTCAGAGATTATTGTGAGAAAAAAGGAGAAAGTGATCTGGAAAAAGTGTTACGGCAGGAATGAATCTGTTTATGTTTGCCAAGTTGAGAGCTGAAAGGACTCGTCTTATTTCCATGGCTTCCCTTCAGCTGCCATCATTTGCCTCTGTGGGAGTTGCAGCCAAAGACAACATGAGGAGTTGCTGCAAAACTCCAACCTGTCCTACAGGTGAAACAGACAGCCAGTCTAAAGGAAAAGGCTTTCACTGTGACACATCTCCATGGGCCGCCCCTGCTGGCTGTTTCAGCCCCTTGTTAAAGTGGATTTCTTATCAAATTTGTTTTTCTCTAATATTCTGTCAGCAGTGCTTCCAGCATTTAGAAGCACTGCTGTCATACCTTTCATACTCTGAAAAGAGAAGAGACATTTTTAAATTTGACAGAAGCTCTCTCTAAATGAGAATACCTCTGCCTCAGTCAGAACTGGCTGGTGTCATAACGTACAACTAATAAGATCTCTTCATGCTCCAATTTGATTAATATTAGAATTCATAAAAGTCTTAAGATTTGACTTTCTACTGTGATTGGTAAATTTAATTCATAGAGTTAAAATCTCTTTGACCTGATTTCATGGCTGGCTGTTATGTAGCAGGAGAACACAACACACACTACAATCTGCTCAGCCTTTGTTAGGATAGAAAACGGGGGGGGGGGGGGGGGGCCCGTAAAACGAGGGGGGGGAGGAAAATTTTTTAAAGGCACAATTT